CTGCTGATGGTGGCGCTGCCGCCGCCGTTTCGGTGGGCAAGCGACCCGCAGCTCGGCCGCACCTGAGCTTCGTGCCTGTCTCGACGGCGCAACTGAGTGGGTTTGGCGGTCCGTGGGGAGCGATGCTGCGCAACGCGACGAATCCGTCCACCGTCCTGGAGCTGGCTGTGCCTGTGCACCGCGGTTACTTTGTTGCTGCCGACGAGACGCTAGTCATTCGCTGCGACGCTGTGGCGGTGTTCGGCGGCTGCAAGGGTGTGCTGCTTGGGTCCTTCACAATCAGGTCTGACACGCTGCCCGCCGCTGCCAGCGCCCTCTCGGCGATCACCGGCGTTGTTGCGGGTGCGGCGGCTGTTGCCGCGGTGGTGACCGGCGGGCCGGGCTCCATCCTGGAGATGCAGGCACTCGGCGTGTTTGCGAGGATGTCATGCGCCTCGGCGCAGGAGCGTGGGAGCACCGTTGCGCTGCCGTACTTCCTGTCGGTGTTCGCTGCCCTTGACCCGCTGTGGATGGTGGTGGGCAACGCGCTGCTGGCCGCTGTGTTCGGGTGCGTGCACTGCGGTGTGACGGCGGCCTTCCAGCGGTGGCGCGGCGTGGACGCGGCGAGTGCGTGGGCTGCGATGCGCTTCCCGAGCCTGACTTACGTCGTGGCGCACGCGATGCACCTCGGCATTTTCTTTGGCTCCGTTCTTGCACTGGCGATACCCGACGCCCGCGTGCAGCACCGCGTGATTGGTGTTGTTGGCGTGCTGTACGGTGTGGCGTTTCCTGCTGGCGTGTGCTACCTGATTGCCCGCCACACGGGCGCGAGCTTTACGAGGTACTGGCAGTTTTCGAGGAAGCCGCTGCACGAGCGTCAGCTGTACCCCGTCGGGTATTGGTGCCCCGCGGCGCAGCAGCGGATGTACGGCGGCATGCTGACGAACATGAGGGGCAGCCACGTGTACTGGTGCGTGTTCCAGCTGTTGGTGCTGTGTGTGGTGTGCCTGATTGCGGCTGTGCACTCGCCTGTGGGAGGCTGCTACGTCCAGTACTTCTGCATGGCGGCTGTGCTGCTTGCGGGTGCGGGCGTGGTTGCCTTCACGAACATGATGCGCTCGGCCTTCCTGACGGTGATGCACACTGCGGGCTTTCTGCTTCTTGCGACGCTGTGCGTGGTCAGCGCGGCCAACCACCTTGCGCCGAGCGATGGCGGTGCGAGGGCGTACGCGGCCATCGTGCTGCTGCTGACGACTGTGCTGCTTGCGGTCACAGTGTACGGCGTCGTCGTGTGGTATGCGGAGGACCGCCACTGGCAGGAGCTGCGCGAGCCGCGGCGTGGAGGGCTGGAGGCGCTGCTGCGCAATGACGAGGAGAGCGACGAAGAAACGCAGAAGCTCCACGACATAAAGTTATTGTCGTACGCCTCAGGCACCACCGTTGCGTCGTCGTACCGACCACCCGCATTGCCGTAGCAGCCCATGGCCGGTGACACCCGCTCAGACGCACAGAGCCCGCCGGACCGTGCATCCAGTGCGAGCTGTATGATCGATTACGCTGCCATGTGACGTGTAACACGCGGAATTAGTAAGTGTGATGTGCTTGAAGGGCCATGGCTGTGCTGCGCATCACAGCCGTCGTTAACCGCAACGATACTGTTGTTGGTCGTTGTTTCTATCGATTTGTTTCTATTTTGAGCGGGTGCTTCCAGGAGTTTTTCCCGTTCCACGCTGACTGTGTGGAAGGGGATCGAGTTGTCGCTCTTGTTACTGCTGATGTCATGTTGTACCGGACTGTAATTCCATGGAGTTGCGTGCGAGGAACCCAACGCTCGTTTTGTGCAATGGAAAAAGGATTCAGCGAACCGCCTAGCGGAAGTAATGAATTGCAGCTTTGCCTTACCGCGGATTTGCATGCAAGAGGCATTACGGTCCTCAGAAGCAAAGCGGCGACAGAGTAGTAGCATGGACCCGTGCTTCCAGGAACGCCTTTGAGCGGGTTGTGTATTGAGGCGCGACCTCTTTCTCTGATTTAGGCCTGCCCTGCTTTGTCGAGTGCACAGGGCGATTGATGTCTCTTTAGCGGTGGAAGTGACGGACAGAGTCATCGCAGTCACGTTCCACACTTATCCTTGAGCGCACCACCGCCATGGCTGGATTCCTCAGGTGTGTACGTGGAGCGTGGGGAACTTGGATGACGCGGCGTTGGGATTTGTTGCCCGTGAAGGCCCGCGTGTTTTGTGTGTGCAGGAGGTGTGACGGCCGCTTCCGGCAACCTGCACATCCATTCACGGCGCGGCCTTTGATTTACTTGGCAAACCCCATTTCACAGGCAAGGAAAAGTGCTGCATATTGGCCACGCTGGTACGAGGAAGCCTGCACGAGCACGTTGGTCATTTTAAGAACTTCAATCCGGCCGTGCGAAATTCATGCACCACAGCAGATACAGAGGGGTGTGGTGTTGGCACAGAGAGTACGGTATACACCGAGAATTTTTCCACGGCGGCGTGCGTGTATGCACCTTTTTGCTGAATCGTGGAAGCACGCGAGCACATGTCGACGGTTCTGGATCACCTGGTGACTCACATCGTGGACGTACCCTTTCGTCTTGCCCGCAGCACCGAGGAGCGTGCACACGGACGCAGATTGTCGTTGGCCACTGCGACGTATCCGAGAACGAAGCATGTGATGCATAAGCCAAGACGGCGTCCGACCTCACACAGCTGACAGGCACATGGAGCACCGGCATGGTCGCATTGGCCGAGAGTATTATTCGTGCCCGACAGCTCAAGCCCGAACCTCGCCGCACCACCGTGACAGGCGACTGGGAAGCCACGCACACGGACTCCACCTCACTAATGGGAAGAGGCCGCACTGGTCCGCTTCCGCAGCGGGGTTTCGCACAAATACGGATGGCTGCTGCGGCCACTGCAACTCGCCATCCCGAGCAAATGCCGTCGCTGCGTCCCGGATGCCCCACCGCAGGCACGCAAAGAACTTCGCACGGAAACTTCTTAGCCTCCCGCTGGACACCACCCCGACACGATCCGACGCCCCGGCATACCGCCCGGTGTGCGGCAAGCACTGCAGCTGCCGCGTGAGTGTCGTGACGCACGGGTTCAACTCCAGTGGCGTTGCGCGCTCCCTGGCGCTGTGGAAAGTCAATTTTCCCAGTGAACCGGAATAGCCACCCACCAGTTTATCGAGGACGAGAGCGAGCGATGGCACACCGATCGCACCTCCGCCACAGACAGCACAGTCCAGGTCGAGGCCACTCCCATGCAGTCTCTGCACGGCGTCGTACGACCCACGAGACGGGCTCATTCTTTATCTCCGGCACTTTTAGAATTAATGCTGCCTCCTGAAAAGTAGGAAGCGTCTCCTGGAAAACGACGATTGGACTGCATCCCCCTGTTCGAATGCGCTTACAGTGAATTGAAGGGTCAAACGAAGGCGAGGCTAATGCCCCATTTACGCGCACACGAACGCTCTGTTCCAGAGCCACAGCCGGCACAAGGACCCCGACTGTAAGGAGGTCACGACGCCAAAAATAGAGATTGGACACCCGTGCGCGCCGGAAGGGTTGAGCCAAAAGAGGAAGAATAGCAAACCCACACAGAGACTCCGTCCCCGAAGGAGTCTTTGGCCTCCGCGAGGAAGGAGAATGCCAGCAGGGAAGAGTGTACTGTTTGCCTAACGTGGCACGCAACCGTCCAATCATTAACGTCACACTTTTGCCGAGTCCATGACGGCAGAGGGTCAGGCCGCCGAGGAGGCGCACGTCGCCCGGCGACGACAGCTCTATGGGATCAATACCGGCTGAATTTCACCGCCCAACACGCGGTTTTCAGCGCCACAACAATGATGGACGGACTCGCCACCGCACGGCATGCCACTGGTAGCGACCGAACATTGTGGAACCCAGCCGACATGGGCAGCGCGAAGAAACAAGCATGCACCTACTCCGTTGCTCGGCTTTTCCGACAATTAGAAAAAGCAACAACCATGGTGTGGACGCAGGGGGAGTGGGGAGTATGTGCCTTACGAAAAGTCTGACATAGTTTCTTCTTTTCGAGGCGGAAAGGCTCTGCCCCCAACAGTACCTTCGCGTGGCAAGAAGGCACATGGCTTTTCGCATATGCGGCACAACGTCGATGCTGCTGGAAGGCGCACTCCATCTTTTGTTATTTATAGATCAGTTTTTTTGTTGATTTATTGATGTGTTGTTTTACCGATTTCCGGCAACAGTGAATTATTTAGCTAACGCGCCAGCGCGGGGAGGATGCCTAACGTGTGTGTGTTACACGCCCTCCGCTGCAGCTCCCTCTCCGGGTGTCGGGGCTTTCCTTCACGCCTCCACTCAGCGGGGCTGATGTGTTCTCCTATAGAAGCTGTTGTGCGGGACATAGGATTCAATTGAGAAAGCAATAAGGATAAAAAACAACAAGGCTCTTTTGTGACGTGTGCCACGTGGAAGTGACAGTTGTGCGTTGCTGGTCGCTGAGGGAGGGCGTGGGGGCCATGGCTGCAGCGCACCACAGCCACCCATCGGACTCTGCAACGGCATTGCCGCTGTTTTTTCTGTGCACTGTTTCTATTTTTTGTGTTGTTGTGCCTGCAACGACTGTCTCCTGTTCTACGAGGACTATGTGGGAGGGCATGCTTGTTTTTCTCGTTATTTATTGTTGTTGTATAAAATGAGAAAAAAAGAAAGATGAACAGAAAAATTATGCGGGTTGATGTATTTTTTGTGCATTTATATATTGATATGTTTTTGTGGATTATTCTATTATTATTTTCTATTTTTTTTCTTTTTTGCGTTGCTCCACACATGTCTCAGTGTTGCTTTATTGCGGTCACACACGGGTGGGTTGAGTCGCGAATAGTTTTTTTATTTTTGGTGCCATTTCGTGTTATACGCTGACGCGGCCACATTTGTCAAGCATCCACTCTCCACAGCATGGTGCCTGATATTTTGGAGTCATCTCAGATGTAACGCCGGCACCACCGCCGTGGCACGCATGGGAGGTAAGATTGGACGCGGCATAGCGAAAGATATTGTGCTGCACATGTGTCTGTTGCATTTGTTCTGTTGAGGAGGTCTTCAATTCAGAGGAAGAGGGATGGACACTGCACGATTCCGAGGCTTGGAGGAGTTATTGCCCCCTTTTTTAAACATATTTTTTGTATGATCCCTGGCCCCACTCGTGTCTGTTTCGATTGCCTCCCCTGAGTGGAGCTGCGCCATGGCCATTATTATCATTATTTTTTTGGTTTTTTGCGGAAAAACACATTGCGAGTGACGAAACCACAATTCATGCATGCGGCGTTCAGGGAAGTACGCATTTGAGGTGGGGTGCACATATGTGGATGTCACGTGAGAAGGAAGGGGGGTTGACTGCCCAACCGCCACTCCTTTTCTGGAGGGTGTGTTCCTTTTTTCTGTTGCCCTTTTGTGTCGGGGCACGGCGGGATTGGACAGCACCGTCCCACGAAAGTCTTTGCGCACATACACACTCTGATGTCACTGTCGCCCCCGGATTCGGAAGCAAAACCCAAATTCCTGCTGCTTTTTGCATTGGCGCAATTATTTCTATTTATTAACTGATGCCATTCTGTCCGGCGTGTCACTTTGATTGGATTGTGTGGGATTTCTCGCCAACACTATCAAACAAAACAGGCTGAAGAGTTTACTTATTTAAACGTCATCTTGCGCGCAAGTATTTTTTTCACATGTTCAGTTGATGTGCACTCAAGCAGCGAGGGATTTGGAACTATGCGTGCGTGGAATTCTTCCTGCCATGTGAACTGCGGGCAGCACCGAGGGACTGTCACTTTGACTCCGCAGAGTTGTTGTGTCTCTTTGGGGGTTGGCAGGGAAATTCCATGCAGCCAGCTACTGCTGGTGTGTCCCCAAATGTTGTCACTCCATGCGAATAATGTGCTTCAGCGAGTGAGGGGGATGATTGGGTTTGTGTGCACTCTGATTGTGTTTGCTGCCTTGTGCGGGCACGCAACACTTCAGGGGTGGTAAAATGGAGCGGGGCGATGCATGGCTGCGTCCCGCCCATTGCTCACTGCACGATGGTGTGGTGCACATTGTGGTGTTGACTCTGCGATGTGACTGCGGTCTCCTGCGCGGCAATGGCGGTGGGTGGACGAGAGTGCTGACCCGCGGCGGGACGGTGGGATCGTACCTCCTTTTGTGATTTTTACTTCACCCTTTGAAGGTGTGCACTTATTTTGGTGTCGGTGATGGGGCAAACGGACAGACAACGTGAATAAAATAAAATAAAAAAGGACGATAATGTGGCGGTGTTGTGGCCGATTGCACGTTGCGTTGCTGCGGGGTGAAGGGGTATATTATCTACGACGTGGCAGAGGAGGTGTATCGTCCGTCTGTTGGTTTGCCTTGCAACAGATGGGGCATGATTGTGGTAACATCACCAAACGAGAATAAATACGAGTTGTGGGCTTGTCAAAACTTACCCTTACAAATCGTAATGAATTGTCCTGACGAGAGCGATGTGAGGAGAATGCGCGTTTGGGAACAACGCAGTAAGCCTCCGCAGCAGCAAGCGGAATACTGGCGAGAGGTGAGGGGTCGCATGGATAAAGTTGGACCGATTCTTCGCCACATCTTTGATGAGCAATCATATGATGATCGGATTGAGAAGTGTCACGAAACCGTGGAAGAGACGATTTCCCCGGAAACTCAGTATTACACTGGTTTGGGGAATTCTACGATGTGGGGCGGTAATAGCGTGTTCCACTGGCTTGCGAAGGTTGCACGAATACGAGTGGAAGTTTGCAAGGGTGGATTTTCTTTGAATTTGCCGATATCTGACCATCTCTGTAACAAAACGTTGTGCATGTTGGCAAAGTTAATGCAGCAGGATGATTTTAATTCACTCATATTGAGACTCAAGCATAATCTTGTATCAAAAATATGGAACGGTGTACCGTGTTTGCATTTTTGGATGCGGACTTCATAACTGCAATACGACACAAAGTGAGGGAGCTGAAGCGAACAGCACTACGTCAGCCACACCGCAGTGCGCTGGAGGTGTACTCACAGGAGCACCCCGCCAGGTACCATGTCTTACCGCCACCGCATTACTTTTATGAGAAGGTTGGCGTAGATTGCTGTGTGTTGTACGTACCGGAGGTGGAGGACTTTCCGCTGTTGGACGCTTTCTTTTGTGGACTCAAATCCGAAGACGCTGGTTGGGCTGCGGATGGCTACGGCGGGTGGGCATCACACGACAACCAGCACTGTGAGGCAGTTCACTGAGTGCCTGGCGGCATATTTTAATGGTTGGGAGGAGTTATCCCGACAACTGTCGTGGGAGATGATTTATGTGCAGCAGGCAGGCAGCATGCCGATGAATGGCTGGCGGAGATGTGATGTTGTAAATTCCGATAATGTGAGCGGCGCGGACAACAATGAAATTGCGGTGTTCTGGAAGGAGAAGGTGCACCAGTACCAAGTGTCAATATCATCCGAAGACGCCTCAAGAAGGTTTTAAAATTGAGGAGTAATTAAAGGAATAAATAGGAAAACAAATTGGGGAATTGCGGGGGTAGTTTGAGTTCTGGTAACAAATATTGTGGGATTTATATATTTTTGGATACTTGTGTGTGTGCATGCGGTGCGGGTGCACCAGCATCAGGCGGTGGCATAGCATACAAATACCAAAAATGTCCAACACTATCGAACATAACAGTGGCAGAAGAAATTAGGGAGGGAAAGGGGTTGTTTGGTTTCTGGTGAAAAACATTGGGTGGTTTTTATATGTATGTTGTTAGTTGTGTGCATACGAGGCATAATTGGAAAACTGCCTCGGTATGAGGGAATCATTCTGTTTGGCGCTGTCGCAGTACTACTGCAATGTTTATTTTCTTCTATTGTGTTCTAAGGCCCATCACGAACAGAGGCGTCTTAAGGGATGGACGAAGGATAAGGTCTATTGAGGAAACAGTGCACTCCGTGTGACCGCATGGGGCGAGGCACCGCGTCATGGATGGGTGAGGATCCGCTTCCGCTTGTGGCTCTTTGGGTGATTGCTCGCTTGGTGTGCGTTGTGTGTTGGCTGCGGGGCTGTGGCCGTATCCCGTATTGTCGGGAGAATCCAGGAGAAAGCGATGCTTCCCTCGTGGGATTGTTGTTGGCGCAATGCAGACGGC